CTGTTCTCATTTTTATTTATGATGTCTCATGCGGGAGTACACTGTTTTTTAGAGGATATGTATTCCCGGTCTTTGTTACTGTATTACTTGATACAAATTGTTATTTAATTTAATAAAGAATACAGTCGGGAAGAAGAGCATTTTCTCAACTCTTTTGTTAGATGAAAGAAGCTTAAGAGGTTCTGTGAAATGTGTGGCGTTGCTTGTTGCATGATGAGAAGCTCATCAGATTAAAAGCTGAAGGTGAGAAGTGGACTGGAAAAAGAAGTGACAACCAATTACGCCCCAACAAGGCAACCCCGTCTTCCAGCCGTATTCCACCTTGGGAATGAGGAGTGGAGTGTTCGGGCGAGCTTCACGAATGGCCAGCTTCACTTGCTGCAGTGCCACTGAACAGCCGCGACGGTAACGCTGCCGTAATCACCGTAGCGTGCTATTCTCGCATTGCAGCGTAGCAGCCGACAGCGGAAGGCGGGGCTTACGAAAGAAAGCATGTAATGCGGGTCGAGCGAAGTTGTAGCGCCTTGGTCGCCCACTTTGAAGCCGCAATTTGGCAGCGACATCAGCGCTTGTCGGCCTGTAAACCATGATCGGGATGGAACAGGAGAACGAGCCCGATCCCGTACTGTGCCTTTAAGGGCGAGGTTTCTCGTGTTCATGATCGAGTCGCAAAAGTTTTCCAAAAGTGTATTTTACAATGTTTCTTAACTTGTTATTCTCTGTAATGGTATCATACTATTACACGGTACTATCAAGGAGAATGCCGATGTTCCGCTCTTCTCCGCAACATCGGCTGGCCCCCGCAAGTCATTGTATAGGCCACATCGCATTCAAACGCCACTACGAATGTACAAATGGAAGTAGAATGCGTGCCGCATCCCAAAAAGGGATTGATCAACGGCAAATGCTTTATCCTTTATTTTTTTATTTCTCGATAAGAGAGAAGGTTGAAGAAGGAGAAGCCTCACGTAATGGAGAAACAGGCGGACCTCCTAATGGGCCTTCCCCGCGACCCCCTCCCCCTCTCGCGTCGTCTCGTGTCTGAGTCTCTTGCGTTCAGCAGAGAGAGCCCGAGCGTTAGAGAGGGCAGCACGATTAGAGCAGCACCAATGCGCAAATCAAGGGACAAGGAAGGGGCCCA